ACACCTTCATGGAGGGTCAGACCCTGAAATGGGAGCAATTGGCTTGGATGTGCTTTGGTGCATTAAAATACCATCAAAAGAAAAATATCGCAAAGGAAAGTAAAATCATTATATTGCTATTGTGGATTTTTGTTTTTCAGCAACCGCACAAGTTAAAATGTCAGATCTCTATAAATCATTCTTATTTTACACGAGTTCTCAGCCCAGTAAAATACAGCCAACTTAAAGAATCAATATGAACACAGAGCAGCTTGCAATGACCCACAAATGAAAATTAAAAGCAATGCCATTAAGTCTTCATAGGGGGCATTTGGTCAGCCTGCCAATGGCCTCAGAAGACCCTAGTAAGAAGAGTGGACAAGCAGAACTTTTCCTAAAGTGAGCAGAACTGCACTGGGCTAACACACAAGCAGCAGCTTCTCTTTCATCACATGGCTTTTCCATAGGAAGGGTTGCTAAGCAGACCTACACTGCAGGTACTTCCTGCCTAAGTGAGCTGTCCTGACCTGATCAGTCTCCCTGCCACCACTTAATCCGTACGGTCCACCCAGACATCATACGAGGTGCTGCCCAGTCCACTGGCTCCTGTCTGAGATCCAGTCCTGCATAAGGGGTGAGCCTGAACACCCTTTTACTTAACATGTGACTTAATACCCACCAGGGTGGGCACCTGATTCTCTCCTGGGAACATCGACTTGGGACAGATTCCAGTTAGTCAGTTTTACTGGACTCAAGAGATCATATGTGTGGCATGGAAAGCCTCCTGGAGCGCTCCCTTCATGGAGAGGAAAATGAGGCCCTTCTGCAACTCCTCAGGGAGATGAGATGCAGAAAGTCACCTCATTTCATGATTCTGGATCCTTAGGATCCTTTCAATAAATTCCCTCCTTTCTGCTTAAGCCAGCTGGAATGGATTTTGGGGCCCTCCCCCAACCTTGACTTGAGGGCAGGGATTTTTTTTAATAGGTTTTATTTTCTTAGAGCAGTTTTGGGTTTACAGCAAAAATGAGTGGAAGATACAGAGATTTCCCATATACTCACCAACACACACACACACAGCCTCCCCATTATCAGCATCGTCCACCACAGTGGTCCATTTGTTACAATCAACAAACCTACATTATCACTCGAAAGTCCATAGTTTACATCAGGGTTCACTCTCAGTGATGTACATCCTACAGGTCTGGACAAATGTGAAATAACATGTATCCACCGTAACAGTTATCATACAAAATAGTTTCACCTGAGGGCAGGGATTTTTTCTGTTTTGTCTGTTTCATCTCTAGATCAACATCTCAAACAGTAGGTATACAGTAATTATTTGTTGAATGAATGAATACGTAACATGCAATTGACCTCTGTTATGAGTATATGATTCTTTTGGAGCAGGAGTTAAATAACATGGTCCTAGACCAGCAGCATCAGCATCCCCTGGGAACTTGTCAGCTATACAAATTCTCAGGCCCTACCCTAGATCTACTGAATCAGGAACTGTGTATAGCAAGCCCTCCAGGTGATTCTGATGCATGTATGGTTTGAATACCTCTGGGTTAGAGCATCTACAGCTCTATATACCAACAGGACACATGGTGGGCACACAGTAATATTAAGCAAATGCATGGACCCTAAGGGTCTGCAGACAGGCCTGAAGGTTATGAATGAGCTGACCAAGACGCTGGTTTTGCGTTCTAAAGATAATAGGAACATGTTAAACTTCAGTCCCCCTTACCCATACCACTAGGAATGCTGTGGAATGCCTAAAAAGCTGAATCAAGAGTGATGGACAAGGAGCTCCCAAGGCCTGGACAGTGAAAGCAGGTGTCCCCACAGAAACCTGCAGGCAGGAAGCTGCTGTCTTCTCCTCTGATCTGGAGCAGCAGCCACAGAGCATATTAACAAGGCACGGAGTCTCCGAAATAAAACGAAACCAAGTCCAAGCTGGTGACCAAGGGCTGAAGGGCTGGTCCTCTGGCAATTGCAAATGCTGTAAGCTAAAAAGACTCCAGCTGCCCCCAATTGCCAGGCAGAGATGCAAGAATAATGCTCTGTGGAAAGAAAGGCCCTTTGAGGTTTGACTCTAGTCAAGTGGACAGCCATTGTTTTCTTCCGGACAAAACCTCCAAATCAACAGCCGAAGCCCAAAGCACCTCAATTTCTCCGCCCCTAAACTCTTTGCGCAGAAATAACAAAGTCACTTCCTAATACTTCATAAATTCCCAAGGGAATGGAGGTCCTAGAAGGAAACTCACAGTAATGAATCACCTACTGTGTAACCTGCTCCCATCATTTCATCGTCCACATTGCAGCCACAGGGAACTTGGTAAAATGCAAGCCTGACCCCTCATGCCCCTGATTAACTCTTCAATGGCTTCCCATTGTCCTTAGATGGAGTCCAAACTCTACCTCAGGTTTTATCCCTGCAATCCCATAGCTGCATTTTGACCACCCCTTATCCCCCTCCCCCACCCCCAACACAACATAGAGTTAAGCCTTCTGGGTACTTTCAATGCTCTGTGCCGTTCTTCCATCACATATGTGGGTAAACTACAGACCATAGACTTTAGTCCCTGGCACTAAACTGCTTAGATTCAAAGCCCCACTCCACCACTTAGGAGTTATCACCTTGGATAAATTACTTTCTGAGCCTCGGTTGCTTCATTTGTAATGAGATACCTACCTCAGTGTCTGTGAGGTTAAATGAATTCATTTTAATTCATATATGTAAAGGCACACGGTAAGAACTATGTGTGAACTCGATGTGAGAGACAAGTGCGTGCTATTATTCTTTCTGTACTTTTCACACTATGTAATTGTCTGGACTAGAAACGCCAGGGGCAGGAAGGGAACACCGTCTTCAGGAGCAGACACTGCATACACATTTGCTGAATGGATGGTAGCCCCTCTGTACTCTTCCACTGTCCCACTCTGTCTCATGGTGGCTGCTGTCCTAGTGGGCAGAAAGTATTAAACAACTTGTTCCAATGGGAATTATTAATTATCATCAGCACATGCAGGAAATTCTTACCTATCTTCTAACTAATGAAGCAAATAAAAGAAGACATACAAATGGCCAATAAACACACGAAAAGATATTCAGCATCATCAGTCAATAGGGAAACATGAGTCAAAACCACAATGATATACTACTTCATATCCACTAGGATGCCTATAATCAAAAAGACAGACAATTACAAGTGTTGGGGAGAATGTGGAGAACCAGGAACCTTCATACACTGCTACTGGAAATATAAAATGGTGTAGACACATTGGAAAACAGTTTGGCAGGTCCTCAAAAAGTTAAACAGTTACCCCAGGACCCAGCAATTCTACTCCTAGGTACATATCTGTAAGAGATGAAAGCATACACCCACACAAAACCTTGTAACATCATTATTCGTAATAGCCAAAAAGTGTAAACAACTCAAATGCCCATCAACTAATGAATGGTTCAACAAAACATGGTATAGCCATACCATGGAATATTATACAGCCATAAGAAGAAATGAAGTACTGATACGTGTTACAACATGAATGAACCTTGAAAACATTATGCTCCATGAAAGAAGCCAGATGCAAAGGCTGCAAATTACATGATTCCATAGAGACGGAAAGTAGATTAGTGGTTACCTAGGGCTGGAGGGGAAGGTAGTGACTGTTATTGGGTCCAGCATTTCTCTTTTGGAGAGATGAAAATGTTCTGGAATTAGAGTTGTGATGATTGCACAACTCTGCGAATATACTAAAAACCATTGAATTGTACACTTTAAACAGGTGAATTGTACAGAATGTGAACTCTATCTCCATAAATCTGTTTTTAAATAAGAAGCAACTGAAACAATAGTGAGAATGACTATTTCTAAGGACTTGCTATGTGCCACGTAGTATACTAAACAGCTTTTGTATATTCACTCATTGTCTGGAATTTCAAAAAAAAAGGCAAGAGAGGCTAAGAGTATTTTTAGAGATGTAACTTCAGGAATGAGCCCAGCCCAGCCTAGAGCACAGAGCAGATGCTCAACAAACAGTTCTCTTTGCTTAGTCTGGTGATTCAGTGACAGAAGTGCTGGCACAAACCTGGGATTGTAACAAAGTCTCGGGGAGAAGAGCAGCCTGAAGCTGGAGGAGAGGCCTGTTAACCCTAAAGCTACCCTAGAGAGAAGCTGAGAAGAGGTGGTGTGATCTTGGGGCAGAGTTGAGGGCAGGAATCGTGGGCATGGTGCATGGCCCCATGGCGAGGCTGAGGAACTCGCTGTGGACCACCCCCTGCAGAGGGAGGTTTTTCTAAGGTAGTAAAAGGAGGGCAGTGGTAGTTAACAGGCACAGACTCTGGACTTGGATTGTCTGGGTGTCAAAATAATTCCACTTAAACAAGTTTCTTAGCCTCAGTGGCCTAAAGTTACGTCACTGGCAAAATGAGGATAATGATAGTAACTACCTGGGAGAATTGTTGCAAGAATTAAATGAATTCGTTATATGTAAAGCACTTAGAACTACCCCAGCACACTGTAAAAGCTTCATAAATGTTATAGGTTGCTATCATCACCTTCATCATCATCATCACCATCATCACCGTCTTGAGAGGCATATCTGACTAGACACTCAAGGGCCTTGCTAGCGGGAACAGTGAAGGGAAACAGAAGGCGGACTCTTGGGGTCCACTCGCGTACTGGTCATTTTACACAGATTTCGCCTGTGTTAATGCGCTGGGCTGAGAGGGAGGGCGTGACTTGTCCCAACCCCGCTGCGCAAGGTCCTACCCAAGATTCCAGCCCCCGGTGGGTGGACCAGCGGAGCAAAAGAGCCAGGAGGCTTGCCCCCCGCGCCGAGGGATTAAGGGTCTGGGAAATTTTGGGGTAGGAGGAGGGAGAGGGAGGAGCGCGGGTTCGCAGGGCGGAGCTGGGGGAGGTCCGTCGGGAGGGAAAGGCCTGTCCGGAGAGAGGGAAGCGGGAGAGCGGGCGCTGGAGCCTCGGAGGCCGGGCCGGGCGCGCAGGGCGCGGTACCTGGAGTCGAACTTCTGGCCGTCGGGGAACGTCCCCACGTAGTGGTAGCGCACGAAGTCGCCGCTGCGCACGGTACGCGGGCACTCGTCGGGCACGAAGCGCCGCTCGATCTCCAGCTCCGTGTTGGAGCCCAGGCCCAGGCCCGCCACGGGCGCCGCCTGCCCGGTCACCCAGA